GTCTATATTTAGTAGAATTACAGTCTTATCTACAACTGTTACAGTATAAATTCACCATGTTTTGCATGTTTATATTTACACTATCCATGGTGACAAGTCAAGTCTCTCATTTGACCTTGAAGTTAGGTTAAGAGAAAAGTGGTTTGTCAATTGAAAAGTGATCGTATGGATCCCTCTCAATTTCCATGCAATCTTAGAGATTTAGAACTTGTATATAAAAATTTAACTACACATGGGATTTACCTAAACAAAACAATCAACTAACCTCTACCAGGGCGACATCAATTTTTCACAGATATTCACAGATATGTCTCTAGATAAATAGACAGTCATTTTGGTCTGATATCAGGCCAAAATGGCTGTGGAAAATGGATGTCGCCCTGGTAGAGGGTAACAATCAACTTATGTTATACATGTACATAATCATCATATATTTATGAATGATGCTGACACAGTAATTACAATATCTTTAGTACTATAGTAATCTTCTTCTACTTATTAATTACAGACCAGACTTTCCCAGGAACCTATGCTCTGCCCCCTAAAAACTACATCAATAGTTTTTATACAAGAGAGCTAAGAAAATAAAATGGTGGAACAAGACTCAACACAGAGAAGATACCTTCAGTAAAGTCACTGGAACAATGCCTTCATAATTCAAATTTATGAACATATATGATAAAGTACCATAACTTCATGAAGATACAGAAAACTGGAACAATGGCTTATAAAGATAAGGAAAAGGAAAAAGACGAACTTCTTCTTCTTCAAAAATCGGAAAAAGGTGAAGAAATTGATCCATCATGGGAAATGGGGCAATTCACAAAACTGCACCTGCAGGACAGACAGATAACCAGTCTACCATCAAGCATTAGCAGGTGTAGTAATCTACAGCACTTAGATTTATCATACAATTCTTTAACACATCTCCCTGACTCAATTTCTCAGCTAAAACATCTGAGGAAATTTGAACTTCAGCATAACAACTTTACAAAATTTCCAGCCCAAATTTGTTCTTTGCCAGAATTAGAAACACTGAATATGAGCTACAATAAACTTGCTATTCTTCACCCAGATATCATCAAGTTGACAAATCTTAAGTCCTTCAATCTCAGTTCAAACCAGTTCAAAGATTTTCCAGCTGAAGCATGCCACATTCCTAAGCTTGAGACGCTGGAAATAAGTAGGAACAAAATCTTCAGTGTTCGTCCTGATATCATGAAAATGACCAAACTTACAAATCTCGACCTTAGTGAAAACCACTTCACAGAGATCCCAGCTGAAGTATGCCACATCCCAGAGCTTAAGACTCTGCAAATGAGTAGGAACAACATCTCCAGTGTTCACCCTGATGTCATAAAAATGGCCAAACTCACATATCTGGGCCTTAGAAAAAACCAGTTCAAAGAGATTCCAGCTGAAGTATGCCACATCCCAGAGCTTAAGACTCTGCAAATGAGTGGGAACAACATCTCCAGTGTTCATCCTGATGTAATAAAATTGACCAAACTCACATATCTGGGCCTTTGTGAAAACCAGTTCAAAGATTTTCCAGCTGAAATGTGCCACATTCCTGAGCTTGAGACACTAGAAATGAATAAAAACAAAATCTCCAGTGTTCATCCTGATGTCATAAAATTGACCAAACTCAAAAAAATGGACCTTAGTGAAAACCACTTCAAAGAGATCCCAGCTGAAGTATGCCAAATTCCAAAGCTTAAGACTTTGCAAATGAGTGGGAACAACATCTCCAGTGTTCATCCTGATGTCATGAAAATGACCAAACTCAGGTATCTGTACCTTAGTGAAAACCAGCTCAAAGAGATCCCAGCTGAAGTATACCACATTCCAGAGCTGAAGAAAAAGTCATAAAAATGGCCAAACTCACATATCTGGGCCTTAGAAAAAACCAGTTCAAAGAGATTCCAGCTGAAATGTGCCACATTCCTGAGCTTGAGACACTAGAAATGAATAAAAACAAAATCTCCAGTGTTCATCCTGATGTCATAAAATTGACCAAACTCAAAAAAATGGACCTTAGTGAAAACCAGTTCACAGAGATCCCAGCTGAAGTATGCCACATTCCAGAGCTTAAGACTTTGCAAATGAGTGGGAACAACATCTCCAGTGTTCATCCTGATATCAGGAAAATGACCAAACTCACATATCTGTACCTTAGTAAAAACCAGTTCACAGAGATCCCAGCTGAAGTATACCACATTCCAGAGCTTAAGACTCTGCAAATGGGTAGGAACAACATCCCCAGTGTTCATCCTGATGTCAACAAAATAACCAAACTCACATATCTGGGCCTTAGTAAAAACCAGTTCAAAGAGATCCCAGCTGATGTATGCCACATTCCAGAGCTTAAGACTCTGCAAATGAGTAAGAACAACATCTCCAGTGTTCATCCCAACGTCATGAAAATGACCAAGCTCACAAAACTATACCTTAATAAAAACCAGTTCACAGAGATCCCAGTTGAAGTATGCCACATTTCAGAGCTTGAGATACTGAACATGTCATATAACAAGATCACCCATCTTCCTCATCAGCTTTTGGCTCGTAAACATTTAGAACATCTCAGAGTGCAAGGTAATCCTCTTGTGCCATCACCAATGAAGGATCTGAGAGGGAAAGAAGCCATACACCACTACCTTGAAACCTTGAAGGAATTGGAAGAGGGAAAACAATACAAACGAATAGATGGTAAATGACACATATATATTTCTTTTTTATCTACTATGCTGTAAACAGATCATAGTTTTCAAACTGTAATGGTCCTCTGTTATATCCATAATATATCTGCTATTACATGGTATTGTGTAGATAATTTAAACTAACAGCTGACTTTTCTAACCAGTTCATCACTCATCTGATCTAGCCAATAACCAGCAGAAATCCTCATGAAGAGGATGCAAAATCTTATTTCATAAGCCCGGAAATAGCCATCATATAAATTTTCCTGGGCATGATAGCTTCTATTGTTTTTATAGATGGAAGCAGCAGTAGCAGCAGCAGGGAAGGATCAAAATTGGCAAGTTCATTGGACAGAAGGTAAATTATGGGTGGCCAAAAGGGCAAAAATCCATGACATGGATTCAGTATATCATGCTTTTGAAACTGAAATGACGGAAAAGGCAGTGAATCAATGAAACATGACTGAATCGACGTCTTGGATTTTACTAACAGATTTAACTAACTACTCATTACTAACAGTTGGTTTTCAGATCAAAATTGATAAAATCATTTGTAGGCAATATACAAAATCTAAAGAGTTAGGCTCATGTATCAAGTGTCAAGAACTTGCTTAGTACATAAATATTTTTTCTCATACAACTATTTGAAATTAACTTCATTCCTGTTTTCAGATTATCTGGACTGAAATTAGACATGACATCTGAACGGTAAATAATTTACATGTTAGGTAAAAAAATTACAGGAATATCCTAAATGTGCTAAGTTTAAATATGTAAAGGACCAAAACAGTGATGGCTCAAACCTACAGATATTTTTTTATGTCATTCCCTCTGTGAACTATTACACACATATTAAAATTGCTTCTGAGTATTTATTTAGAAGAAATGATATTCTATTTTCAGACTTGCAGAGCACAGCATGCCACATGCACCACTTGCAAGTGCTTTATCTACAACAACACAACCTGAAGAAGAGCTGCTAATGCCCAAAGGTATATATGGTCTTTGGTGTCTTCTGAATATTTCATAGTATACACTCAATACCACAATTTATGATGATTTTTCATGCAAAACACTATATCTGAATGCATATAATAGTATATTCTTGGTCATATTTGCTTTATTTCTGATTCATTTTCATAGAAGAAAATGTCACGGAGAAAGAAGTCTAAGATATTATGACAAGAGAGCTTATATCCCGTGATGAAAGGAAGAAAATGGGAGCTATCATCGAAAAGAATTGCAATGAACTATTTCATAAATTTCCCAACATCTCATGTATAGATATATCTATTTCAAGAGAACAAGCAGATAAAGATGGAAAGAACAAACCTTGTATTGCAATATACTGCAGTGACAAAACAAATATTTCAGACTTTCCAAAAAAACTTGGGGGCTATCAAGTTGAAGTCAGGGAAGGAACATTTGCACTTAGTGCTGACAATGAAGGAAACAGAGATAATCATCTTTGTCAGTTGTATATTGGATCTGCTGTAGGGCATGCTAATTCTGGTAGTCTTGGTGTCTTTGTAGAGAAAGATGAGGGTAACCATGCATCAACCAGTCCACAGGCATTTGTTACATGTTCCCATGTAGTTTGTCCTTATGATAAAAATCCTGAAACAGTAATTGGCACCCCTGTCTTTGTTGAAAACAACAACAATTTGAAAAGATGTGGGGTTGTTAAGAAAAGTTACACTGGTAATGTTGAACATGATGATGGGGATGGTGAAGTGATTGAATGTGGTGTTGACATTGCACTGGTTGAATTACAGGAAAATGCTCAAGGCAACTTGTTTCCATTACAATCACAGGAAACATCATTCAGTAATGTGGTTACTAAAGATGTAGGTCATCTCCCTGACCGTGTGTATGTGTACAAATATGGGAAAACCACTGGCTGGACAGAGGGGAAACTCTGCTCTGCAGCTGCATTTTGCAGAAATACTGCCCTCTTGGATAAGACATCTAGTCACTGTAAAATCTTTAAAAATATGATTGGTGTTTTAAGCACAGGTGACAATGCATTTTCTCAGGGAGGGGACTCTGGATCTGCAGTGTTTGTGAGATTGCTTAACGGTAAACTGGGAATCATTGGTATAGTAGTTGGTTCAGTTTCTGAACTGCTTAATGTGAAGAAAAGCATTGTTTCTAGAATCCACCCTTCGCTACGTCAGATACAAGCTTGCATTTACAATCCATCAAAGAGGGTAGGAGAACCAATGGAAACTGACCATGCTACTGGCACACCGCCTTCAAAGGAAATGTAAAATAACCAAACTTCATAGAATATGAAAATGCTTAACTTACCGCTAGGAACAGGTCCACAGTGGGCTTGTTACTGATAAATGCTATATCTGTCATGGCGATTCCCTCCGCAGCACAGTCCTGCTGTTCCCTCTCAAAGATGTACTCATTGAAATACTGGTGCAGCTGCTCGTTGGCTAGGTTGATGCATATCTTAAGAGAAGAAATATTTACTTTATTTCAATGTTTTTTCATTAAAATTTATTCTTGATGTATATATTTTGTAAAGAAATGCAGAGTTGATTATGTATAGTCAGACAGGCCCGTAGTCAGCAATTTCAAAAGGGAGGGGTTCTTTTTCCAAAAAAGTGAACCTTTTAAAATGAAACCCATGTGCATCTAGATCAAATTTTACCCAGAATAGACCTTTTCCTGACAAAAAGGGTGGTTCTTTCGACCCCCCCCCCCCCTCCCCCCGGCTACAGGCCTGCCAGAGGTGATATGTTTAAAGCAATCATAACAGTTACTTTTGTTGTGACAAATTTAAATATATTATAAAGGTGAGTGTGTACATATGATTCATGTGTGTGTATGTAAGTCTTACTTAATTATATCTGAATCAGTGTATATGTAACAATTGTTATGTATATCATTCAATGTTTTTTGTATTAATTATCAGACTTCATATTTTTACCAATTATTACTGTGACAAGTTGAATTGTTCATAAAATAGTGTGTGAATGCATGGGCCATTGTGTGTGTGTGTGTGTGTGTGTGTGTTTGTGTGTTTGTGTGTGTGTACCAGTGTGTGTACCAAAATCGATTTAACTAAATTAGACTGCTAATAATTATGATTCCCATTATTTCTTTTTAAAATTTGTAACTATTCATAACTATTTTTTATTTTAACTATATATATCTATGTGTGTGTAATTACCAGTATACTAGATATCATATATGTTTTAGAGTTAAATGCATAGACTGGCACAAATTTAATCAGCCTTTTAGACTTCGTATATATGTAGAATAATCAAGAATATATTAATTGCTATTTGAACAAACCTGTTCAAAACTATTTCTGGGGAAATTTTCAAATCCAAAAATATCCAAGATTCCTATCTGAACTGGAGAGAAGCCACTAAAATAAAAGATAAATATGTTTTTATTTCCAGAATGTTTTATAAAATAAAGCATTGGAAATGCTCAAAAAAAAACAGTTTAATTTTTGACTGGAATAAAAAGAACTAGACAGCAGTGCTGAGAAATATGCTATGACAAAATAGCAAAAACAATAATTATATTTATTAAAGAAAAAAAAAAGATGATACACAAAGTCTAAGTGGTAAATATATTTCAACTCCACCCCACATTACCACCCAAAGAAATGAAGAAATAAAACTACACCCCAATAAATTAATTCAAGTTCAAAAGTGGGAAATGAAAAGACTTAGAGAAAGTGATAAGTCACTAAAACAGACTACCTTCCTCCCTATGTCAAAATTTCAGAGGAATATCTTTTTAAAATGCTATTAAACCAAAATGATTAATTCAAAATTATTTCTGTCCCATACTTACACCTCCTCTGGGGGCTGTATGAGCTGATTGACTCCATTGACTATCCAGCTGAACAGTCGGCCATACAGGGCCTTGGCCAGGGCGTCCCTGCAGTCCCCTGCCTGGGTCAAGTTTCTCTCACGTTTGATTTGTTCTCCTAGAATTGTATGATACAGTGAAATACATTACATGTCGTTGTCTTTTGTGTAAAAAAAATGGCAAAAAGGTTTTTTACCCATGATGCCTGACACTTTTACTTTTTTCTAAGGGCTGTGATTAAATGACTGATTGTCAAGGAATTCGTGTTAAGTCATGTGATCTAAGCCCTAAGATGAAGGGTAAATCATGTCTCTTGATACAGAAAAAAATTCTATAAAAATTATAACAATTTTTCCATCTTCAAGAGAATCCTGCCTTGGCCAGGTAAACATTTTCATTTAGACATTTAAGCCACTTTTCATTAAATTATAAGTATATCTAAAGACAATCAAATCTTATATGAGGAAAAGTTATACTACCTCTGGTGATGGTGATCTCAGATACCAGAGCAGAACTGAGGTCACCAGCTGGAACCTGGAGCAATGCTGCCACTGAAAAAAAAATATCAATTTGCATTAATAATAACAATCAATCTTCTCTGTGTTACACCATGCAGATGATTGAAAGATATATTTATGAGACATTTTTTTAATGCCAATCTCAGAAAAACTTGGGGAAAAGAAGGAAAAGAGAGAGAGAGAGAGTGTGTGTGTGTGTGTGTGTGTGTGTGTGTGTGTGTGACTGTGTATGCAGGCGTGCACATGAGTGTGTGTGCATGTGCGACATTATGGCCGTCACAACCATTACATTCCACAGTCACATATTATTCAATGCCATACCTTTCCTTAAAGTATCGGGGTTAGAGATTTTGGCAGCCTCGTTGTTTCCCACAGGCTCAAACTGAATGTCTCCGAGGTGAAGCACAGCAGATAGAGTAAAGAACAGGTGATCTACATCCTGGAGAAGAAAGAATAATGTGACTGTCACATCTAGCACAATTAACTGTCACAACTAACACAATGCATTCACTCATATCTACATCCTGGAGAACAAAATGATCCAAATAATGCATGGAAATTTATGATTTGGCCAAAGTATAGATAAAAAGTACAAAAGACAAAAAAAATGTCATCGTACTGCTAAACTGCATACATTAACCATATAACAATATCATGAAAAATTGGGAAAAATCAACCTTGGGGAAAAAACAACTTATCCAACAAAATCAAAGAATTTTAATAACATCTAAGTTGAGAAGTAAAATCATACATACTGCCTTTGTGAATCCAATATATTTAAAACATTCTCTGAGCTGAGCAAACCTCTCTGCTGTCTCCTGTGAAATACACCTGTCAAGGTCTGTGTCAACACCCCTCAAGTACCTGTAATAATATACCTTATACATCAGAAAGTTATAACAATTTACAGGTTTAAGCAATCATGTTCATACATTTTCAAAAATTTTATCTAATAAGCTCTGCTAAAAATTGTTCACAAAATCAGTGACATATTTGTAAAACAGAACATATCACTCACATTCTTCAACCCATTTGAAAGTAAATAATTTGTAGTAATGAACAATAAAAAGGTAGAGCAATGCTTCCACAAGCCTCTAAGTAAGTACATTCTACAAAATAATATGGCAACTGATACTGTATATAATGCCAAATTCTTAAACCATCTTATAGCCAATATTTACTAGATAACATGAGTAAATATCTGAACAATTTGGACTTTGACAGAAAAAAACACCAAGTGTGAAATAGAAATATTACAATTTTAGAAAACAACTGAAAACTGTACCCTTTGATGACAAAATTGCTCATTTTTGGTTCACAGTAGAAGTAGCCAACAACCAATCAGAAATATCCTTTTTTAAAATAAGTAATGATTTCACTGTGAGTTAGCCATGCCAAAGTATGAAGTGACGATGGTTTTCTCTTAGGTACCAGATTCAGGGATCAGGGCCGTAGCCTGAGCAAACTGCCAGGGGGGGCAGTAAGCGGACACGAGGGGGCGAAGCCACCAAGGGGGGGTGGGGGTGTCCCCCTCCCACGGTATGGAAAATTTTTAAAAACTGTATGTATAATACTGCATTCTGGTGCATTTTAACTGTTATTTATTGCTCAATCAGAAGTCAGAAATTGTGATTATTTTTTTTGCACCTCAAATCCCAGCTGCCCCCCCGGAGGCTACGGCCCTGGGGATGTTCCCTATTTGTCTGATATGTGCCTACACATTTAACTTGCACAGAACAGCAAATATGAGACAAAATTTTTAAATATCTGAAAAATAAAACTGGTGTATCTTACCTGTGTCTGTGTGGAGACTCCAGTCCATATTTCATGTATTCATCCGGAAACAGCCAGCAAACATAAAGTACAAGATTTTAAAATATCTTAAAAATAAAACTGGCGTTTCCTACCTGTGTTTGTGTGGGGACTCCAGTCCATATTTTCTGTATTCATCAGGAGACAGGCCAGCAAACACTAGGTAGAAGATGTGAAAATTCCTTTCCTTCACTCCCTGGGAAACCACCCTGGACTTTTCCAGCAGGTACTCTGTGATTTTGGCTGAAATTTTATGACACATAATTTTAAAAATTAAATTACGAGGTGCGGATCCAGAGATATTTTCTGACAAACACTAAATTATCTTTGTTGATCCATCAAACATCAAGGAATGGTCTTAATGGTCTTCCCGCAGGACCCAAGCAATTAAACCTTAAAGTTGAGATTTAATCCATGTAGAGGATATTAGGATATTTAAAAGCAAAACTTGGGATATTAGCCAGTTATGCCTTTAAATTGGGTTGCCCATATTTAGTCCATGAATCAGCAAGTCCTCGGATCATCTGTTCTGAATGTGATTTTACAATGCCGTACCTCCTTGGACTATGCCATCATAAGAGAATTTCAGCTCAAGGAACTTCCCGAATCTGCTGGAGTTGTCGTTCATCACAGTCTGAGCATTGCCAAAGGACTCCAACAGAGGATTCACCTGGAAATGCAAAGATGACATCAAACTCAATGGATAATTTTTGATAAAAATTCAAGAAAAGTAACTACCTTAAAAATCAATTTTTTTCATGGGTATGTAGGTTCATCAAAGAATTGAGGGGAATTTATCAATCATTTCCTTTTCTCTTTCTTTTATTTAGTATCAAACATGAAATATTTTCCCAAACATTTAAATAAACAGAGACAAAGAATTCATCATATGCCTAAAATTACCTGCTGTATCTTATAGTTAAGATCCCTCTCATCACTTTCAGCAACATTCAGCAAGTGTTGTATGAGGAATTTACACGTTTCCGTTTTCCCGGCCCCCGACTCCCCACTGATAATACAGCACTGGGAGGCATTCTCCCTCAAGAGAGCCTTGTATGCCCTGTCTGCCACTGCAAACACATGGGGGGACAGGGGGGTCTGGTCATGGGGGGTCTGGTCGGACCCCTTGTGGTACTGCTTGGACACCTGGGAATAGCATCAATTACATTTATTTATTTACAGTAACTTTACAACTATTTGTTTTGAAAATTTTAAGTAAATTTGTCAATTTTGACAAATCAAAACAATTCATCACCATTTGTTTTGAACATTTGCAAAATAACAACTGTGCACTCCTATTCAATAATTTACTAGTAATTAAATTTTCTTTCTCATTTGAAGATGAAAAAGAAAAAAGCTATCAAGTGGGATACATGGACACTGATGTAAAGTATCTGTTGCATCTCCCAAGAATATATATATATAATTTATAAAAAATTTTAATTAATGAGACACCAAAACTGGACACGATTAAACGTATTTCCAATAATCTCCTATAACCACATTTCTATTCTTTAACCCCACTCTAATAAAGGATTTCACCTTTTTAAAAGATCTGGCATCAACACTAATTTCTGCCTGCATAACTAAAACGTCAATTGGCAAAATAAAGAGATATAGCCTAAGAGATCTAATGTTTGGTTATCATTTTGCATCTGACACGACAGTATGAACTGTGTCTGCCTGCTCCAGCGGTTTCATCCATACATACCCATCTGGTAAAATATGGCAGCTCCTTGAAAGGATTCAGCGCAATGAGAATGTCACCAACATAGGTCTGGAAAGAAAGAAATATTCTGATCAAGCTTATCACTAGCGTTCTCTATGACCACTATATAACAATCATTCACTTTCATGTATATAATGTATTCATCACATTTTGTCCCCTCCACCCTCTTCTTACCCACTCCTTTTTCCACTACCTTTTTCCTTTCATCTACTTACAAATTATCTGTGTGTCTTTATGTGTGTGCATGTGTGTGTGTGTGCGCACATTTAATGTTTGTGTGTGTGTCAATGTGTGTATGTGATTTCCAACGTCACAATATATATATATATATATATATATATATATATATATATATATATATATATATATATATATATATATATATATATATATATATATATATATATATATATATATATATATATATATATATAT